GCAGCATTTACTTTTACTTCACTCAAAAAAAAAAACAAAAATCATATTGAATGAGTATTGTATTCTTCATGTTGAATTGAATTTATTTTATTCTTAAATTATATTTATTTTATTTATTATTAATTCCCATTAACCTTAGTAAATTTATTTTATAGCAAGTTAAAATGATTATCTGGACCAAGCAGTTCTGCAGAAAGTTAGTTTTTTAAGCAATGCAAATTAGAGTGATTGTGAATATTGAATATATCAACTATTATTATGTACAACATGTGTTTATTGTCTATTACAGTATTAAATTTAACATTTAATAATTGTACTTTATTGTTCTAACAAACTATTGCTATTCTTCTTAAATTCATTTTACTTTATTACAGATGCAATGGACAGTTTAGATGAAAGAGTAAAACAGTTTTTTGCAAATGCCAAAAAATTAAAACCAGAACAAAGAGAAGTAGAATATGAAAAACTTAGACAGGTATGTTTTCAATTTATTTATTTATTTTTATTGATGTTTTATATATAGCCTACTTGTTTATGCATTTTGGTAAATAGAAACATAAGAACTATGATTTATCACAAACTTACATACATTCCCCTCTTTATACCTGCTAATTCCTCAAACTCTTGGCATTTTAAGTTATCCATGTTCCTTGTTATGAGAGCATACACACATTGTTCTGAGATGTCGGACACCAACAGCAAAATTAGCGCATTAAGCATATGGCTTCCATGGGTACAGTACTTCTTTAATCAATATTCTGGCTTTCACACATCAGTTGCATTCTGGTAGTATCTAAATTAATGTTAACAAAGGGGACTGTAATCATGTAGTTTTAAGTTATCAACTGTCCCTGCATCAACTTTACTATAAGATTACTAGGGATTTAAATTTGGTGTTAGGGTGGAAATCATTGGGTTTTCCACCCTAACACCAAATTTAAATCCCTAACACCTCTTATCTAACACAAAGGATAGTGTGAATGACACAAAAGCACTGCGTGTATACCTTATCCCATTACAAGATGGATGGTTTAATACGTGATTGTCTTACATAGGATCTACATACAGACCCCTGCAAGCCAGAATACACAACCACAAATACAGCATGGCCAAAGAGAATTTCAACACAGTGCTTGCCCATTTTGCTGCCAAACCTTAGGTTTCCTCCTGCTGGGATGAAGCTACACTTTTCACAAGGTCTTTGACCAACACGTCTTATGATACTTTGGAGGCTTTAGAAATCTATATGGCTGAGAAGAAAGGATGTTACATTAACTCTGATGTCATTACAGTGCTGCAAGCATGGAAATATTTTATAGATTTGCACAGAATTTAATGTTGTTATTTAATATGCCATGTAAAAAATTGGTTTGTTGAAAGCCTTTCATTTATTTTGGTTTTTATGCTTTAAACCGTGCATCTTAACTGATATCAAACACCTTTTTGAATGTTTAGAATTTCTATTTTTAATGTAATGGTATACTCTGTAGAAAAATAAACCAAAAAAAAAAAAAAAAAAAAAAAAAAAAAAGTTCTATTTCCTGAGGAAGGCCTCTAAATTGTGGCTGAAAATGTTAGAACATTACAATTATTTGCTGGAAAATCGCATTTAGGTGTTAGTTTAACTGTTGTGTTGTTCCAGTTTTTATGTTTTTTGCTCATATATTGTATCTATTTTTCATCTCCAGTAATGATTTGATCCCAAAATGGAGCTCAGGGATAACAAGAGCACAACAAAATGCACACATCAACACAATGTTGAAGTTGTGCTGCCTAACCATGCAGCATCCATATTTTCAACTTCAGCTCTTTCCTCAGCTGTTTCTAATGCCATTGAATGGTCATTTGACTTATGTCCAGTTCTTTAGCAAATTCTCATATTGTTGTGAGGAGTTTATTTTCCACTAAAGTTTTCAGCACATCAGACAGAATTTATGAAAACATGCAATTTAATATTTATTTGTTTAAAAAGGTTTATGATATTAATCAGCAAATTTATGGCAAATACCATAAAGACATTCAAAATATGTAATTACAGTAAGCATTAGGATCAATAATTTAGTAAAATGAACAATAATGAAAACTGACATTTTTCAAGAGCATTTCAAATTAAAACTAATGCAATAAAATGAATAAAAACAGTATATAAACAAATGATATAATAAGGGACAGTACAGATCCAGAAAGTTAGGGAATGGCATCAAATGTCAGAGAACATCGGGAAATCCACAAATACCCAAAATCCATTCATTTCTCTTGCTCTTTTTTGACCTGAATATGACTTTACATTTGGTTTGGTATAGGGGGTCTATGAAAACTGGAGCAACCAAAAGAATGGCAAGATTTGTCATGCTTATATCTTGTAAACTATAAATGATAATCTAACAATCAAAATTTTATTGGATAGATGGTTTATGTTCGTATTTAAAATGGTGGGTAGTGGGGTATGCAATTAAGGGGGGTTTGTGGTTGCACGTGAACACTGAAAATGGTGATGTCACACGGTGTTTGAGCAGTGTATAATTTTGGATTGCAAAGAGATAGGATCTACACTATTATCTAGCAATAACAACCAATAAAATAGAATTTATAAAGTTATAAGCCAATAAGTGTGCAAGTTGAAGAAATTGCAAAGAAAATATCAGCAGAAATGTGTATAGCTAGCATATAGGACAACAGTTAGCAAAGTAAAAATTAACTGTTATCCTATATACATAACTATATAATTTCTTACCTTTTTCACTGCTCACCTTTGTTAATATTTGTCTGGAATTTATTTGTAAAAGCAACTTAATTTCTTTTTAAAACAAGTCTTATCCAAGACCTTTAAGACAGAGAAATGGGAATTTTTCCTTGGCCTGGAGAAAACTTAGGTACCCTTAGTAAAAATAGCATTAATTTGTGAAGGTAGGAACCACTAACAGAAAATAAAATCTTTAAAATGGAATGTTTCTTTATTAAAAAAAGCAATTTATTTCATTTGTTCAAAATACAAACCCATATAAATTCAATGACCCTGTTCATATGGTAGATGTCATGATGAGAATAGCTATCAGTAAGTTTTGATTTCTACTTATAAGCAGCATTTACTTTTACTTCTGTACTTTCATCATCAGGGGCCAATACAGGGGTGGGCAAGCTGGGTAGCTGCCCAGAGAAGCAGATTGCTAGGTGCAATCTTGGTGCAAAATTGGCCAAAGAAAATAAAAATAATAAAACATTCTTAATTTCAGATAATTATTTTCAAAAAGTAAAATAATTGATTAAGTAATTAAATTTGTGAGGTTCACATAGTGTAATTTTAATCAAAATATCTGAGCCCTCGGATCCTTCGATTAAAATTACACTATGCCTATATTTAAAAAGGGCAACAAATAAGTATCTTGTCCAGGATGACTCCTCTTCATCATAAACTGTTTGTAACACAATGGTAACACAATGTTATATAGTTCAAACACAATTTATTAAGCATCCATTGCTAGTATGAAAGATTAAAACACCAAGTTCTGTGACAAACTTTAAGGCTATTTCTTGCAACATTGGTCCCAAGAGGAAAACCTATAGCCCAATTGTGATTGAACCACTCAACCACTCAATAAGTTTTAGTGCAAAACAACTTTAAAAAATATGATAAATGTTAATTATGCAAAAAGTATTTTATCTTTCTACATCAGAGCAAGCTTGGCATGCGTTGCTGAATTTGCCTCAGCTCACATCTTATGAAAATGTTGGCAAGAGGATATTGATAAGAAAAACACATTGTCACATTAACATATGCTCATATCTTCTCCATAAATATATATATATTTTAAATTTTCTCAATTAGAAAATGGGTTCTCTTAAGTATTAAGTACATCTTCTATACAATAAAATGCCATAAAACTAATTTTTTCTTTCTTAATTAAATATCAAAAACATGCACAACCCAAAAATAGGTGTTTTAACACTTTTGAAATGCAAAACAGATCTATTAGCTACATCTCCAATCCACATTTATGCAGTTATTTTGAAAATATTAGCATTGACAAACTTTCCCTGGTGTTCCATAGTTACTGTGAAGGTGCCATTTTAGTGTGCCTAAATTAGATAAAACTATGCTTAACATTTAAAGATTGAATTCTGCACGTCCTGTGTATTTTAAATTGAGAAATCTTGTGCATCCATGGTCGTCAGTTGAGTGAGATCATTCTGAAACTCATAATTCTTATGGGCCTCATATTTACAATTATTTCTTTAAAATCTGTACCTGCCAGAGTTTTAAAAGTGGGCACAACTAAGTTGCTCTTATAATAATTAAATGTTAGATGTCAATTAGAAATTATAGAAGTTATTTTCTTTTATAGGATTATTACAAAGCTTTAGAAGATGCTGATGAAAAAGTACAAATTGCAAACCAAATTTATGATTTGGTAATTAATTAATTAATTTTTAATGAAACGCATGTTTTTAACTTGATAAACAAAAAAAATATTCCTACAGGTCGATCGTTACTTAAGACGTTTAGATCAAGAACTACAGAAATTTAAAATGGAATTAGAAGCTGATAATGTAGGAATTACAGAAATTTTAGAAAGGAGTAAGTGTAAAATTTCATGTTTTATTTTTATTGTTATGAAGAGAATAATGGTACAAATATTTATGTAATGAATACAATAAATTTTATTTATTATGAGCTAAGAGAAAATAAACAAAATACAATAATTTATAAGTTGAAAATACTAAGCCATGGAGATCATCCTCCTCACTTTTTACAGCAAAATTTTTATTACAACACAAACATTTTTGGCCTTCTTTAGCAGCCTACCTCAAGTTATCAAATGAAAAAACTAGAAGATAAACAACTGAACATCCCAAAAAAATGAGAATTTGGAACACTCAGTTTTTTATCTTCTACTTTCTTCATTTTTTCATTTGATAACCTGAAGCAGGTTGCTAAAGAAGGCCAAAAATGTTCGTGTTGTAATAAAAAAAATTTGCTGGCAAAAGTGAAGAAAGTGGTTTCTAGTGGCTTAATAGAAAAGTTCCAGCTTTTGGAGGAATCCACACTTGAAGTTGAAAATAGTTACTACAGACAAAAACAAAACATAACTACAGGCCAATTCATACTTTAAGAAAAGAAAAAAATGACACCTTATTTTTATTTAGTTTGAAATCTTATCCCATTGCACATCACATATTTGCCAAGTTATCATTAGAGTGATTATTGGTTGCAAGGGATGGGATCTAACATGTCCAGACTAGACCACTCACAAAAGTTTTTCAGGATCCTGTCCAAACTCAACCTGGGCCCTTTGTCAGCCAGAAGATGAATCTTTATTTAGTTTTCTAGCCAGCAAAGAGAAAATGATATAAAATACCCAGTATAAGTACTTTGTGAATTTCCTCATGACATTCTTTGAAACAAAATGAATTGAAGTGGATGAAGGTTCCATTTTTCTGTATTTCTATAATCCAAAATTTTTTTCACATTAACCAGAGAGCAATAAAACAAAAATATTTAGTGAAATCTTACATATTAACCTTGTAATTTCAACAAAAATATAATTCAGATACAGAGATTGGAAATTTGAATAAATATTAATTTAGAATTTTCCAAAGTACATTTTCTACATTTTAAATATTTTCCATAATTTCTTTTATTGGTTTATTAAATATACAATAAAAAGTGAAGAATATTATAAAGTCAAGGTCTTTTTTTTTTGACATTTTGTGAATAAGCTGTATTAATAGCTTTGAAACACACTTTAGAATGTAGCCAAACTAAATATTTTAAACCAAGAATATTGAAAATGCACATGCATTTCTTTTGTCATTTTGAGGTGAGAAGAGAACAATAGAAAAGAAAAACAACAAACTTTCCTTTTTTTTCCTTTTCAATGAAGTATGAATTTTTCTGTCATCACTCATATTCGAACATTACCAAAGGAGATTGCACTTTTATTGTAAATTTATGTGATTAATTAATAAGGTTATATAGTTAATAATCCAAAACTGTGAAAAATCACAATAACAATGCTTTATTGGAAGAGAAAAATATAAGAGAAAGGTTCAAATACCATGATATCATCATCAGGAACCAAAGAATTCTAAATGTAATATAGTTATTTAAAGAATTAGCAACAGATTTGAATCCATCTGTTACAAAAAATATTTGTCATTACAAATAAATGTATAGATTAAGCTATTAATATTTTATTTGAACATTATCCATTTCCTTGTTGAAGGAAGATAATTTAACTCTATGGTTGATGACATGATGTTTTAGACTTCCTTCATATCTATGTTAGGCTCAAAGACTGAAAAACACTCATTGAGCAAAAAAAATCAACCATAATGCAATCAGATCCAGCCATATGAATTTTGCATTATGGAACTTTCAAAAATGCACACAATGCATTTTGACATATTCAGTAAGATTATAAAATGAAATTCATGAGGATATATATTCTTTTAGTAATCAACAATAATGTAATCTGGCAATGTGAAAATGCCACAATGCATTAGGGAGGCTTATTTTTATCACATTGCATCATTGTTGCATTAATAATAAAAATAAGCATCCCCAATGCATTGTGGCATTTTCACATTGCCAGATTACATTACGGTTGATTATTAAAAGAATCTCAATGCAAATTTTGCTTTGTACTTACTGAATATGCCAAAACACATGCACACTTGAAAGTGTCACAATGTGAAATTCATGTTGTGACTGCATCTGAAAAGTCGTAACACATCGAAATGCTCACTGAGTGAAAAAAAAATCAACTACAGTCTTTGAGCCTACCTAACACACACACATATATATATATATTAGTGTTGTAACGAATAGTATATTCGGCCTCAGGCCGAATACTGAATATTCGGCTTGATTAACGCGCGTGTGAAAATTGACGCGCAAACAGCATTATGGCAAGGATCCTGCTCTCTATTGGCCCGCTGTCGCTACGCTTCGCCAATCGCGTTAATTCTTGGTAGTTGTAGCAGACAGACAAGAGTGTCATGGAAGTATGTGACAAATGATGATATCAAACGTGGATAACAATGAAATGACCTACACGTGTAAATAACGGAAAAAGAACAGAGAAGGACCGCGAAGTGAAAATGTGAAAATAAATACGAAATTGAGTTGATAACATAATCGAGGCAGCTTATTGTCACGAAATTTGCGGCCGTCAATGCCAAACAATTGTTGTCATAGACTTCGGAAAGCTAAATGCTTGTAATGAAAGTCACTTAGCATGCACGGGCGAAAGCCTGGGGCCATTCGGGCTATCAAGCTGTCTCGAATTTGTGAAATCATAACTGACTTATATCGACGTCCTATCTGTCTCTTTTCTCCGTTATCACCAGGCTATGAGTCACGTAATTGTAAAATACAAAATCTGCAACGGAAAAGTGACGAATTGAAAGTATCGTGAGTGCGTATTATGATGTATGCACAGGCATACGTGGATTAGAGCAATAGAGGAAAGAGAAAGGGAAGAGCAAAGACGAGCGCTTAAAAAGGATTGGCAGGGTCAGACCCTCAGATGTGCGACGATTCTCCAACGATAGACGTGTACGTGTACTGATCTTTGTAATTATAAATTGTGAATACATGTGACTATTATTATTTTCTTTTTTATTTTGTGCATGTTATAAGTTATAATTAAATATAAACAAACAACACTAACCTGATAACATTAAATCTAAATACCAAAATGATTAATTTACTGTGTTTTTGTTATTTCTTACTCCTGTTTTTAGGTATTCGGTATTCGGCCGAATAGTGATTAAATATTCGGTAAATAGTGAAAATTAGGCCGAATATCGAATAGTAACTGAATATTCGTTACATCACTAATATGTATCCAAATAGATTCAGCTATTTTATAGTTGTCATAAGGCTTAAGAAGTTCTAGTATTTCAGTATTATCTTGTGACATAATAATAATTGTATATTTAATAATAAACTCTTATACTTTTCTTTTTCAGGATCATTAGAATTAGATAATCCATCTCAGTCTAGTAATAATGTTAAAGGGGAAAGTAAGTAAAATTTCTATTTTATTAATAATAATAAAAAATTATTATTATTATCTGAATTGTTCTCTCTTTTTTAGAGCGTAAATATTCATATCAACTTGGTGAAAGTAACAGACATCAACCAGAAAAAAGAACTGTTAATTCTAGAGAATCTAATGATAAAGTTCTGTCGTCTCTAGCGATGGAAGCCATGCGTGAAACTATAACAAACAGTAGAAATAGTAGTGTGGGTTCTTGTAATCATTCCTCCTCCTCATCAACATCTTCAACAAGCAGTAACAGTTCGGCAGGAAGTTCTATTTCAGAAAGAGGAATACTCTTACCTCAGCCTGCACTTAGTTACGGCTTAGGAAGTAATGCAATTGCAGCCGCAGCTTCTCAAGCAATAGCTGCCACTCAACAGGTTTATTTATTACTATTTAAAAAGTTTTATATTAATAAAAACAGAAGTAACATTACCTTTTTTGTTTAATATAGATGCAACAGGGCCGTCGTACTGCAAGTCTCAAAGCTAGCTACGAAGCCATTAATTCGGGACTACAAACGATAAGCAGAGAATTTACCCTCGGTAGTCGAGACATCGGATCTCTCACACCGACCATGTCTGGCTCAATACCCGAAAGAAAAACAAAATCAAAAAAGTTGGTAGTTTTTTGTGTCACCTTATTTAACAAAATATAAATTCTGATAAAATAATTTATTACAGAATGACAAGTACTAGTCAGTCGCAAGCCATTGAACTCGTTCCGCCACCACCCTGTGAAGATTCTGGAGATTCTTCGCTCGTAGACGAAAATGGACAACCATTAGATTGGTCTTACGATCCAAACGAACCACGTTACTGTATATGCAACCAAGTCTCTTATGGTGACATGGTAGCATGCGATAACGAAGACGTAAGTTCCACTTTTTGCTACGTTTAACCTAATTAAACATGTTTTGTAAGTTTGCAACATATCTTTCCAGTGCCCAGTGGAATGGTTCCACTATGCTTGCGTAGGCATTACTCAACCTCCTAAAGGAAAGTGGTACTGTCCTCAGTGCACATCTGCAATGAAACGTAGAGGACGTAAAGAGAAATGAATATTCCTAGCACGTAACATTTGATCACGTTCAAGATACAAAAGTGATTTTTCACAGACTAAACTACTTAATGCATTTGTGAGTCAATTAGGAATATAATGATAGTCATTCACGTTCAAGGACATTTTTCTTTACCGAAGACCACTTGAAAACTAATTATAAACTGATGTGAATACTGTATATTTAAGAATCTGTGATAAAATATGCCAGACACATCTGGTGATGATTTTCATTTCAAGAACTTTCTTCTCAATATAGTGGTACAATTTTTTTGTACATGTAAATAAACTGGAAATAAAGATTTTATACATTTGTTTGAAAGTTCCAAAAAAAAGAAAAGAAAAAAGAAATATGAATCATTTAAATGCCATATATTTTTTGAAATAAATTCCCATTAAAAATAAAGATTATTTTGAAATTAATTGTAATTTATATTAAAAAAAATCGACAATTTAAAAAAGTTAATTTTATTAGTAAATATAGAACTATTAAAAACAAACCTTTTATATATTAAAAATATATACATTCATTTAATAAAAATACAACATACAATATTGTGATTCACAACCACAACTGCAAGTTTAAAAACCCCATTACATGAATAATTTTTGAGAAAATGTGTAATTTAAGTTACAATATATAATTTCTGATACTCTGAGACAATGAACATCACGATACATATTAATATCTCCTTATACCAATTTGGTTTATCCAGTTAAACATTTTGAATGAATACCAAGATCATTAATTTTAAGGGCATTTGATAAGATAAAAAATTTATCCTAATCAAATAAAAGGACAAAATCAAAACAAACTCTTAATAAATTAAAAAACATGTTTTTGATAAGACCAATTTAACTAAAAATGTTTACATTGTCTTGAATAGGTTTAGTATAACTTTGTCATTGCAAGATGTAAAATGTTATTATAATACAATTTTGGATTTAATTTTTTTATAAGCATTCTTTTTTTTGACCATTATTTACTACAAAAATACTTATCACATTGAATACATTTGCTGACAGTGGTAACAAAACTACAATGTAAATTAATCTTCAATTAAACAAATCCTTAGTTGCTATTGACCTCATTAATAATTTTAAATTGTGTAAATTATTTATAAATGACTAGAATTAGTATTTTCTGGTGAATATATAATTAAAGGAAAAAAGAAAAATTGTACATAAAATTTCATTACTTTTGGCCAATTGGCAAAAAAGAAATATTGATTATAATCACAGATAGTTATGTGATCACAACTCTCACATACTGACATTTCCAGTTTTAATTTGGGTTGCAAGCTACCGGGATTTTCTTGAAGAATGCCAATAAATTGTATATGGTCACCGTTTCTAATATTCATGACAAAATTCTTGCATACGCCATCCGTCATTATGATGGCCTCGGCTTCGATTCCTTCTGAATTTATCATACTTAATGTGATTTCAAATCTATAAACATTCCAATCTTCTAAGTGACAACCTTCTGTATTAACAGTGTTGTATAAAAGGCACCGTTCGTATTTAATAGTGTGGGATTCCTGCTGACAGTTTCTATATGGACTACCCAAAATACACTTGATAGGTTTCAACAGAAATGTTGGAAATTTGTTTATTACATTCTTTAATGGATTGCTGAAGTCAGTAATTTTAGCCAAAAGAACCTTTCCCTCTCCTCCTAATCGGCTTCCCAGGAGATGCGTGCATGCAGCTTCTACTTCGGCCATGTTAGTTCTTTCCCAGGCTGGTCGATGACAGTAATTTTGATATCGATCCCATGTTAGCACAGGGCCATTGTTGAAATTCATAAATATCAACCCTCCGAACAAAAATAACAAACTTAAAACACTTATCACAAATATAAAGGTTCTGAGTTTTTCTGATTTATTTAGAAATGTAGAAAAGTAGTGACATAGAAAACTATATCCCGTAAACATTGACGCAACTACTATTAATAGTAATAAATTCCAAAATGATATTCCTATTAATAAAGATTTTCCAATATAACATAAAGAAATGGCTAAACAGATAGGGAAGAATTGAGCTATGATGATGATGAACATTAATAAGATCACACTAAAAGAGAGATCTTTTGACTGAGTCCTTTCTAGAAGAAATGCAGTTATATTTAACCATGCTAAAGACATCAAGTGTGGTAGAAAAAATTGATACCATTTCCCTTTACTCTTATGTATTATTTTATAATATAAAAATATAATTATACAATATAAAGATGATATTATGTTAAAATTCATTTCAAGACATTTTGTAATTTTCCATGTAAATGTCAAGTTAACAATATTTAGCTCTTTATTCTCGATCTGTGCAACTTTGTACGAAGCTATGAGTATATTAAATGCCAAAGTTAGCATCCTAAATCCACTTTTAGTCTTGCTTTCTTTTTCTAGATAATATATGAGAAGAACCGATAAGACAGCAACATCTGCATGAGCAATCTGTTCCAAGTTCATTGGATAAGTTAAGAGAAAAATTGACAGAGAAATAAAAAACATGAAAAAGCAAAAGAGTGTCATCTTTGAATGTTTCTCCACAATTTCTACACTCGGATTTGATTGTTCAAGTGATTTTATCACTTTTAACCAGAAACGAAAGTTGTAATATTGCATTATGATGCTTATCATGTATCCAGTTGAAAATATCATGACGATAAGCGACATTAACGAGACCAGGCAAACTAGATACTTGAAAAAGATATATTGTGGTGAAAAAATAAAAATAAAAAGACAGAAAGATAATGCACATAGAATCATTGCTAATGAGATGGATTGGATGTAAATAATCCTTAACAATTCATTTGATATCCTATAGAATATCTTCAGAAACCATTGTAAAATCCTCCATAATGATGTACTTGACATAGAATATCCTGCAAGATAGATACTTGGTGAATCTCCCTCCAAACATTGAAACACTGATGAGACAACATCATTCACAGTTACAAATGATCTATTTAATCCATTTAATATATTTTCTTTCTGGGCATTTGTGTTTGAAAATCCAATTTCCGGAATAGTATCTTTAAAAGATTTTCCTTCTTCAACATCTTTTATAAATAAATATATTTTTTGTTTGAAAGTTTCAAGCAGGAGGATTTCATTTGTGTCATAAGCAACTATTTTAAACAGTTTATGACCCAGTTGATAAGCTAATTTTTCTTTTTCTGTCCGATTTAGACACATTTCTACCTTTTCCTTATTAGATGATGTGATACCCGTACCATTTCTATAACATTCATCAAGTAAGTCAGAAGCTTCTTCATAACCTTGGCTGGCCGCACGTAAGAGCCAATGAACAGCCACTTTTTCATTTTCACATTTTTCTTTCTTGTCTATCACTTTTTCTCGAAGCAGAGTTCGAGCAAGCGAGACCTGACTTTCTTTACAGCCATCTTCTGCTAACTGATGTCTCAACCTATGAAAGGAAAATTTTGATCTTTGCTCAAACTGCCACATTTCACGAGAGTAGGGTTTCCTCTGCATTATCACTTAGTTCCTAGAAAGATTAAAAATTAAATTTCAGATAATTCATAGTAATAAATTCAATATAAACAATATCTAAAATTAAGTATACATTGAAGCAATAAATTAAATTTTAAAAAATTACATTAAAGAATTATAAGATTCATCAGATTTATGATGTATTTCATTATTCTTCAGGGTTATCAATAAGAGTGCTCTTGATTTAAATTAGGTTTATATTTCAAAAGATGCACACACAAATTTCATTTAGTGCAAATAAATGTTTGTCATTTAACTTAATGATAAAATGCTGTAGTTGCATTCCATGCATGAGTTTGATCTTTGTTACACTGTACAGACAATAACAGAATAATATGAATAATAATAGACAATATTTTCAATATATCAACTTGTTACGAGTTTAAATTGAAGAGAATTTGTTTTTGGAGTTCAATAACACTGTTAGAATAGTACAAACAATAGAACTTTCGACTACATCAATAAAGGACATTACCTACTTTACCAACTGTATTAATGATACAGATTCGAAGCTGAGGGACATTTTTTGAACCATGAAAAAAATTAAAAAAGGTTGCTTGCAATCAGATAAATACAGTATATTATGGTCAATAAACTTCATTACTTTTGCTATTGAAAAATCTGTTTGCCTGTTTTTGGAGCATGATTATGTCAGACCTAATAGACTTCCAAAAGAAAATGATTGTTAGTCCAAGCCTGGTAGGGGTTTCTGTGGCCTGAATTGCTGAGTTGGCAGGTGTAACAAGGTCTACTTGTATATGATCAAAGATGTTCCCCTGTTCACATCTCAGTACACAAAGACAGGAAAACATCTGCAAACAGAAGCAGCAGTGGTCAAAAGTCAAAGCTGGATGTAACTGATATGAGAGCACTTTGTTGAAATGTAATGAGAAAATATAAAACTATAGTATGCAAATTACTGCAGAATTGATTGTAAGTGTAAGGCTACAAGTATCAGTAAAAACTGTCCAACATGCACTACATAAAAATATCAACAGTAGGGCTACAATAGCCAAACCTTTGATGACATCATAAAACATCAAACAGCACATCCAGTGGTGCAGAGTATCACATGGAAACATGATATGGTTAGATGAGCCAATTTTCACTTCCAGTTGTGTTTGTATCTGAAGATCACTGGATGAAGCTTAAATGTTGACTACCTTAAACCCACCATCAAGCATGGCAGAGGTTCCCATATGATTTGAATGGTACTGCCCCAAAATCATTGCATTCGACAGTCATCCTCAAAAGCAAAGTAACAGCCCAGAGGCATCTACATATTCTGAGTAATTAACTTCATCCCATGAGCCAAACTTTGTTTTCAGATGATAATGCTCCTGTCCACACTACTGGGTATGTTCAATCTTGGTTCAAGGAGCATGAAATTGAAGTATCTACCCTGGCCACCACAGTTACCAGACTTGAATATTATTGAGCCAGTCTGGGACATTCTTGAGAAAAAGGTTAGAAGTAATTTCCAGTCTACTTTTGTCAAGGAATTAGCATCAATACTGGTTGAAGAACAGCTGTAAGTACACTACAAAAGTATAAAATTGGCACTAATTAATGTTGTTCATGATTTATATTTGTCTATTCCTTGATGTATTTCAGCTTTATTATCTTCAAAAGGGACTCAACATGGCTGATATCATGACAAAGCCAGAATTTTGAAATTCAATTTATAGGACAAGATATTCAAGGTTAAAGTTCACCATATAAAGTCTATGGGCCAATTGCCTGTTGCAAGCTGGTTGTGCACTATGTGACAATTGAGCCTCTGGTTCCTGTCAATTTACACTGATCTCTGACAATTTTTCACACAGTTTTAGTTTTCTACACTGCAGAGCTCAGTTTCATTTTCCTAGAAAACATCTAGTAATCCATAAGTAAAGCTACTAGATGCAACTCAAGCAATTGCAGAATGTGTTCTGAAATTTTTCTATGTTCTTTCTGTTCAGTGTTAGAATGACTGTCAGCAGCAGCATAACCAAGTGGGTAAGACAGTTGACCACTACTCTGCCACAAACTGTAGGTCAGATCTTACTTTATCAAATTTTTTTTCTAATCTGCGTTGAAGCAGATTATATAGCATATTTTTTTTTCATCTTTAACAAAAAAAAATTAGTATTTTATAATTATAACATATGCTATGCAATAAAGACATTTCAACTTATTTTTCGTATATTGTATTATAGCATTTTTAGTTGGATTTCATGCAATTTTGAAACACTTCCCAACAATTTGCAATTAGATATCATCATTGTAATTCCCATTTCAACACATTACAAACTAGATATGAATGCAAGCATTCAATAAGCCTATCAACATTTTTCATTCCTAGTATATGACAAAGACCAACTGACAACTTATTGTTAAGTACAATCCCGGATATTATATGCTGATTCCTACTGTCCCAGATATTATATGTTGTTCCTACTGTCTAGAATAGATCTTGCTGCATTTTTAATTTTGATAAAAACTTTGTCAGTAGTATTAAGCATATAGAAATATGGTGTCAAATTTCAGTGCATGCATTCTTTTCACAAGCATAATTCTTTAATTCTCTACTTTTATATATTTGCACATTATCCATTATTAACCATACATTGGATAAGTTTTCGTGAACATCTAGATATTCCAGTAGTTCAACAACGAACTCATTAATTAAAACACCGAAATCTTGCTGGTAAGGAGATTAACTTGTAATGAAAAGATAAAACTAAATTCAGTAATCAACATGACATTCTGTCCTCTCATGGTTGGAACTGTTTGCAAACTTCTTTGCCTTTAATTACTCTAGCCATTGTTTCATCTAAGATGAAGATTAAAACCTCATGAATGAATATTAATTTCAGTTGATCATTAGGTGCATTTATAGTGAAGTCATTTACATATTTATATCTTAAATCAATTGTATTTCAAACATTAATTATATCCAATACTTCATAGCTTCTTTTCAGAGTAATACATAGTTGCTGTATAGTTGCTTGACAAAATCTCACCTGATGTTCCTCACAGATGAAATTAGCAATAGCTTTTAATGTTATATGCCCATTTTCCTCAATCTTCCTTTCAATATTCTCGACTATTATAAGTGTTATCTTTTTAAAGTATTGAATTGGTACTGAAGGCCACTTGTCAAGTATCCAGTGTTCCTATATTTTGAAACTGTGTCAACTGTATTATAATTTAAGGATAGCTGTTGACTAGTTTCTTTAATATTTAGTCCATTCCTTCATCAAAAGATGTTTTCTCTCATTACTTATTTTATCATACATTTCCTACAGATATTCATAATCAGTCAGTCCATTGCCTTCCAATGCTGGTGAGAAATGCAAATAAAATTTGTTGACAAATTTTGATAAACACAAAAACTTATTTCATCTACCTAATGAAATATTTCATATATTGATATTTTAAATGGATGGAATGAATATCAAAATTGTTGCTAAGATACAAATCATTTTTATCTAGATTTTAAAAATGTAGCATGTAAATGAACTTGATGATTTTACAATGAAAATAAATTGAAAGTGTTTGAATTCTATTGATAAGTCATGAAAAATGCTTTATATCAACAACAGAGCAACAGAGGTCAAGTAATAATTTCTTGTCATTTCCAGCTCAACAGTAAGACCACGTTTCTTTATGCAGCGAGAGTATAGCGAAATGACGTCACGAGCTGTGTTGGCCAATTAGAAACCAGTTTCAGTGTGTTCACTGTAAAGCGCTTCTCGAGCGCTGCATAAAGAAACGCAAGGTAACTTGTGCTTGAGGTTAACCGATTTTTGCCCCTGCATCCATAATAGTTGCCAATAGAAGGCATTTTTTAGCTCTGGAACTCTTATGTAAACAATTTTATGTAAATTTACAGGATTTCATTGTATTTGGCTTATTGTTTATTATTATTATTATTTTTTTCTTTTGAAAATTTTTGACCACTGATTTTACCACTTGAAGGCAATTGTCTCATCACGTCATCTATCAAGCTGGTCACGTCTATCATTAAATTATCTATGTAGCAACATGAGCAAGTTGAGGGAGTCATATTGTATGAACTTGTTTACTTGTTATAAGTGCAATAATCACTAAATGATTTCATATCACATGATTCTTGTAAGCAAGGCTTCAACATTATTATGCTATGTAGCAAATAGAACTTTCGGAACAAATGTTCATAAAATATTTTGGGTTTATGTTCTCATGTTCTCATAAGATCACGAAAATAAAAGCAGATGCATAAGATTGTTGAATGAATTTGGTAAGTTCTTAACTTAACTGAAACTTAAAATCTTATTTGTATTTATTTCAGATGTTTTAAAAAGTAAAATTCAATCACTCAAGTGAAAAATATAACATTATCTTTACAAAATTTCTGATGTATACATTCAGGAAAAAAAAAAATTTGTTTCCATATGTACTGTACCAACTGTCACAGTAACATACAATGTTGACGGTGCATTTTTCTTTTTTTACTAAGATCCCATACTCTTTCCATTCCTGACATTTAGATGCAGACTTACAAAATATCTGAATTCAACATGCTATTTTTTTTAAAGAAAGTGAAAATGGCAAAATCTTAAACATTGACCATATTTTTTTTTATTTTTATGAAATTGGCATCCAAACATCAGAAAATTTTTTTTTTTTTTTTTGGCATTTTCAAAACTGAAGAAACTAATATAAAATACAGAAGAAACTAAAATGTCTTCACTTTCCTTCCGTCCTGTCCAATCACCAGGAACTAAAACAGTTTTTTTCTGCAGAGATGTGCTTATTATCAGCAAACATTTTTTAAAACCATTTTACATAATATTGCAGAGGTGTAACAGTGGTTCTCAAACTGAGGTCTGCACTCCCTTCAGTCAAAGCAAATGTACCCATCCCATTAAATGTACAGTACATTTGATGACTAAAATTTGCCTTTTTCTGAATAAATAATTGTTTGTCAAAAAATGTTTTGGTTACAGTAGCCTGCCTATTGTGAGGTCCCAACCAATGTCCGAAATCATGTAAATTGCAGTATTCTTATGATTAAATAATAACAATAGATTATATATGAGAGGGAGAGAAAAATCCTATAACTTAAACAACGTGGCACAAAATGTAGACAACGAGTCTCTGATAACTCCAACACGTGTTAAACGAACTGTCAATGTCAGAATGAAAAGTTATAAGTCAAAGACAAATGGTCCTATGCAGGTAGAACTTTGACCCCAGCGCTCATAAACAATCAATCTAGGGAAACAATTTCGGAAAAGAGGAAAAGATTTAAGAGAGATAAATCATTGCATATGACCGTTCGAGTACTCAGATGACAGAAATTGCGAGTAATGGAGCTAAATTATGAGCGCAAGTCTTGCAATTTTGTCAACGATCCCCAAGAACAATTGACAGAAAGGCATCGAGTAGACACCTGGAATCGAACCTTTCCCGTGACCCGAGTCGGTCTCAGTTTTTCCCCAAACAAAAGAGAGACCAATCGGGAAGCAAGGAAGGGGATGAGGGGCCAATCAGAAGTCCAAATAGTGGGAGAAAAAAAACTATAAAAATTGAAAAATCAAGGTCAGGAGAGCTCTCCTCCAACTCCCTGAAACGTCGCGACTGATATTGTGGTGTGTCGTTGGCACGAACTTTGGACTCTGCCGCTTCTAACTTCATCTCGTCCGCCTTGATCAGCGACATCATCTTGTCTGCCCCGGGGCCAGACAGACGCCGAAGTTCTCGCCTCTCTGCATCTCCGACGAGAAGTAGTGAAGGACTGTCGATTGTCGATGTAAGCATAAATGTTAACAAATAAACGGCTTTCTTGTGTAAAACACTTGTCATCATTTGCCTCCTCCGTCACATGACACATACAACTTTCCCTTAGATTCATCCTGACGTGGGATTAATAGATCTCACCTAGGAGACGGCAACCTTACACTGGCATCAGAAATGGGATATTTTATGCCCAATCTACACCAGTTTTAAACCCTACACAGGTGCTGTGGAGCGGGTTTCAAGTCCCCTATCTCCACTGAGTTGGCCATCTTACACTATATGTTAATTGTAGTTCATTTTAAAGGGTTCATGAGCAATCTAAAAACTTATAAAGGACCGTCACGCATATTAAAAAAGTTTGAGAACCACTGCTCTAATAAAAGATAAGCCAAAAATTGTAAAAAAAGGCCTTTTTAATTGAAATTGAAGAAATTATATAAAAATCTGGAATTTAATACTTTTTATAAATACTAGTGATATATCAAAAAATCAAGATTAATCTGAAACATCAAAGTTCAAAATTTTTGTTCAGTTGGATGATTTAATGCAGAATGACCTCCATGGTAACACTAGGATTACCAATATTTTTGTATTTTCACAAAATTTAATGTTACATACAATTCAAATATCAGACATTACTATACATTTTGTACTGTGCATGATGCCATACTCTTTTAATTTGTCTACACATGCTAATTAAAGAGCATATGTAGACAATGATACAGCACATGACTATATTGTAAGATGATCAACACAAAACGTTCTGTTAAGATGGATCATAAAATCTGCAAAAATGTTAATGAACATACAGTAGAGTGTCGTTTATCCGAATCAATTGGGGACTGGGATTGTTCGGATAACTTATTTTTCGGATAACCAATTATGAACAAAAAAATATATTAATTTATCCCGTGTTGAAATTTTTCTCCGTTGCGTGTCACTTCACGTTGAATTTTCGTCGATGTTAAGACTAACGAAGACTATTGTATCGTTAAAAATTATTTTTTTATTTTGTACAAACAAAATAAATATATTGAAAAATATAAAAACAATAAAAAATTATACTTCAGAAGTTAATTTAGTATCAAAAACGTAAAATATTTGAGTAGCCCAAGACATAGCCAAAGATTGCAGCGCCACAGCACTGGCGAAAATTTAAATTTGC